TCGCGCGCAGCCGGCAAAGGATGGGGTGGATATGGCGGACATTTCGAACGAGAGAAGCAGCACCAATGATTACACTCTACAGAGCCCTCGTGCTCCCCAATCTTGAGTATTGCTGCCAGCTTTGGTCGCCACTCAAGGCGGGTGCGGTGCGGGAACTGGAGGCAGTGCAGCGTACCTTCACGTACAGGATCAGCGGCACGAGGGAGCTGAACCTGAACTACTGGGGAAGGCTGAAACACCTGGAACTGTACTCATTGGAGAGGAGAAGAGAAAGGTATATCATACTGTACACTTGGAAGATGATAACCGGACTGGCTCCCAACTTTGAGAGTGAGACCTCCAGAATAGTGACACGTTACCACGAAAGGAGGGGGACTGTGCAAGGTTCCCCCATTTAATAACCGAGCCACGGCCAGAGTACAGACTCTTCGTGAGGGATCACTGTCCGTCGTATGACCAAGGCTCTTTAATGTCTTGCCAAAAGCGCTGAGAGGATGGGAGTTCACCCTTGCAACATTCAGGAGGAGATTGGACAAGTGGCTGAGGAAGATTCTGGATTGTCCAGTAATGGGAAACTACCATCAGCAAGTGACAAGCAACAGCATCTTGCATCAGCTGGCCCAAAGGAGGGCAAATAGACAGAACACGTCCAACGTTACATCCGGGGCCCGAGGGTGGGGTGACTGCCTAGCGACGACTCGGAGACGGAGGACGACGAAGGCGGCGCATCAGCGTGACCGGACTAGGAAGTCCCGAACTCATCTAAGGTCATAAGGACCTCACACCCACCTGTGGTGATGGTATGAGTGTGGTAAAAGGGCCTGGACCACACCACACACCCAGGCCACATCACCGTCTGCCACGTCAGGCAGGTGCAGGTGGCAGGTGCTGCAGGTGTACAGCAATGTGGCAAGCGATGGCAGCTGCTGCTGTCGCACGCCTCGCCCGATGCAAAAGTCTGAAATATAATTAAACATATTAGTTATACATACATATTATTTATAAACACATTATATTTAAACATATTATTTATAAAGTCATTATACTCACGCACAACAGCAGAGGTGGGGTACAGGAGGGAGTTGATGGTGGCCACAAAGGCGGGTGATAGGATGTGGAGGCCCAGCGTGTAGAGCTCAGCACGCTTCAGCTTGACCAGCAAGCCATGGCTCACGCACCCCAAGAAGTGACGTAGCTTCTCACTGTAATCGTGATTATTGTTTAGATAATCATGATTATTATTTAGATAATCATTATTAATATTTAGATAATCATGATTAAGGCCCAGCGTGTAGAGCTCGGCACGCTTCAGCTTGACCAGCGAGCCATGGCTCACACACCCCAAGAAGTGACGTAGCTTCTCACTGTAATGGTGATTATTGTTATAATCAGGATTATTATTGATACATCATAATTATTGTTGATATGATCATGATCCTTCAGTGGCCACAGTTCCTACAACACTCCCTGCGACAGTGTGATCCTAATATTGACAACTCCCTTCTGAGAATATTAAGGATGAAATCAAGAAAAAATACCCGAGCACCTATAGGGGAGTTACAACACCAGAGGTTAAGGAAGGGTAGTTACAATAAGAAAAAAACGCCTGTGGGGGAGTTAAGCAGCCAGGGGGAGTTACAACACACCTGTGGGGGAGTTAAGCAGCCAGGGGGAGTTACAACACACCTGTGGGGGGAGTTAAGCAGCCAGGGGGAGTTACAACACACCTGTGGGGGGAGTTAAGCAGGGGCTCGAGGGAGGCGTCATCAATGGAGGGGGAGGAATTGGGAGTGCGGGGTTGCCAGAAGGAGTGGAGGAGGTGGAGGGAGAGGCAGCGGGAGGCCTCGGCCATGAAGGTCAGCATGGGGCCCATGTTGTTGATGGCCTCACTCGGGGCCACGTTAGAGCGGAACATCACCTGAAGAAATGAGAATTTGTCATGACAAGGCACATAATAATGAATTGTCTATAAATACATTAAAAGAGATAATCCAAAGATACAGTTAGGCTTTTTATACGTTAAAAACATGAACTATATCCGTTTTTATATACATCTGTATAAATATATATATATACCATCAAACAGGGTAATAGGGGATAGTTCTATGACATTTTGTAGCTCAGCTAACCTAATTAAAATATTGCAAAACTAAAAATAGTGGTGTAAAGTTCAACATTTCTCCTATCTATGTAGCATAAATCAATTTAAGAAATCATACATATACTACCTCTAAAAAATCCCTGGATATAAGTGTAAAAATTGAGATTTTGGAAAAGTACCCCTGCTAAGGTCTGTAGCAAAAAATTATTTGCCATATTAAAATTTTACTTACACAAAATTTGCACACAGGTGCTGGCTTAAGAACATGATTGACAGAATTTGTGTAGCTCATCCCAAGAAAAATATGGCGGTCATTTCTGCAGGAATGGGTAATAAGGGACACCCCTAAAAATGCATTTACAGTAGAACCTTGGTTAGCAAAGGCTCCAGTTAACAAAGAAAACAATTAACAACAAAGAATTTTGATTACATTTACCTCACTCAGTGAAAAAATTTCACTTGACAAAATATTAATGCATCATTGGCCATCACAAAACTTTGCATAGAATGTCATGGATAGAATTGTGCACTGGGCAACATGGAATGAAAAGTAATTAACCTAAACTATTTTTTTGCTCAAAAAAATAAGATAGTTGTCACTAAAATATTCCTTCCTGTTTCAGGTACGTTTTTTACAATTTTTTTTGTTACAGTGAATTCACTTCACTCAATTAAAATAGTGCAAAATTACAAGCCGTCCTGTCGTCTTAGCTACAGAAGAAATGCTACGTGGCTGCTGATATGAAGCTTGCAGAGGACAAGGTTATTGTCAATGCTCAATGGCGTGTCCATGGATAAGGTAATATCAAATCAATAATTTGGTAATGTATGGATAAGGTAATATCATATCAATAAAGGAAAAACAAGTAAAAATCACAGAAAATGTCATTTATGCTACATTTGCATCATCTACAAAGGAAGAGGAAGACTTCAGAGTATTGTCAGTAATGGATGGGTACACTCTGCATGCTTCAAATGTTTTAAAATTAGGTTTTATTTCAAGTGTCTCTTATTACCCTATTTCCAGGGTGAGTTCAGGAGGCTTTTATTTTTTGTCTGGCACCTTATGAATAGCATATGGAATTTTTTCAGAGATGACATACAATAACCCAAGGTTGCAAATACCTTTAAAATGAATCCAAAGTCTTTTATGAAACGTCTCATGGTAAGAATTTATTAATGAAAAATGCACAAAACTGTCCCATGTTACTCCGTTTGACAGTATACAGAAATCATCTATATCTGATTGTAAGAAAGGGCAATGAAACTGTCCCATGGAGGGAAAAGATCCATTCATTTTTATTTCATGGCATCTGCCAATAATTGCAACTGCATCTGTGCATGACTGCATCTGTCTATGACTGCATCTGCGTATGACTGCATCTGCGTATGACTGCATCTGCGTATGACTGCATCTGCGTATGACTGCATTCATGTAAAGTATAACAGCACAACAACAAGTCTCACTTCTAGCAAGCATGTAAAGCAAAACAGCACAACAAGTCTCACTTCAAGCAAGCATGTAAAGTATAACAGCACAACCACAAGTCTCACTTCAAGCAAGCATGTAAAGCAAAACAGCACAACCACAAGTCTCACTTCTAGCAAGCATGTAAAGCAAAACAGCACAACAAGTCTCACTTCAAATGGCCGCAGGCAAGGGTCGTTGACGAGTGTGTGGTAGGCGGTGAAGGCCTGCAAGTCGTTCTCTATGAGCCATTCGCTGTCCCCACAGAAAGGGTTGCAGAAATTAGACTTAATGTATCGAATGCCAAAATCCTTTTCACTTTCAATTGGGCCATCATCTTCTGTTTCCTGTTGAAAAAAAGGTTTCAGGAATAAATATTAGCTTCTGGGCTAAAAGTCTAAAACTTATTCAAAATCCAGTCAAAATTTTTTTAATTCAGATAAATTATTCTCCAGTGAACGAAGAGCGCAAGAACTGTTCATATGTTGATGCAATAGATTTTTGATTACACAATCATAAAGCTAATTGTTGAATTAATGAAGTGTGTATCTGAAAGTTTTGTTGATTTTTCTACATTTTTATACAGCCAGGTGTCAAAATGGCTCAATTCATTCGTTGGGAAGGAAAATTATGCATCAGTTGTGGAGGCGACTGTGATAATATTTGCAATATGGTATCTGTCTAGTTTTTAGAAATTTAGACACCAATCACATAATGAGATATTAAAACATTTACAACGGATGATCAGACATTAAATAAAAAATTTGAATGTATAACCTTTTAAAAAATGTGTTCTTTCTTCTCAAAAAATGCATATTATGCCAACATCAAAAAGTGACATATAAACTCAAAATAATTTATGCATTCAAATATATTTAAAAATTGCATACATACCTCTAGAACTTTGGCAAAGTTGCAGAGGTTTTTTATAGAAGGTTTATTAAACTTCTTAGCTGTCTCTGTCAATTTGTGGAGTCTTGTATAAACAGTGAGGATTTGTTGAGTTTGATCAGATGTTAATGGCTGCTTAGCAAGTGCATAACATCCAGTCAAATCTGAGTCTAGTTGATGGACAGCTGCTGACAAATATCCCTTCTCATCTTCAAGATCCTTTTGCATTTTGTTGACTGTCTCCAATAAATCATTTAACACTGTTCTATTTTCATTATTTTTCTCCATTAGCTTTTGCAGCCACTTCTTCTTCTCAGATATATCAGGCACGATGTTCTCCTGGGTACGTCTCATCTCTGGACATTTCTCCTTAAAAAGGAAGTCTAAGGGAGTCACAGAACAAGCCACATGCTTGGGATGGAAGCACTGGTGACACAGTTGACACTTGCATGCATAGCACCAGTGACTGTACACTGTTGTGCTCACTGCAAACTTGCTCTTCATCTTCTTCCTCCTCCTCTTCATCGTCAACTTCTTCAATGACGGCATCAGCAGCATCTTTAGGGATTAGCTGGTAGCAGACTGGTAAGGTTGATATTTCTACAGCATGTTTTTTCCTGCATTTTGGACACCATAATTCCTCTCTTTTCAGCCTTAACAGACATTTGTGGCAGTAAGTGTGCCCACATGGCAGAACAAGAGGCTTGTGGGTCTCACTTGTGAAAGCCTCCTTACATATTTCACAAGTTGTGTGTGGATTGGGAAGGAATCTACGTGTACGAGCCATTCTATAACAAATCAAACAAAAAACATAATACAAAATTATTATTATTTGATACAAATGATGAAACACAAAAGCTTTTTTATAGTTAGATACCAGCCCGATGATAATGTACAATCAAATTCATATATCGAGAAAGTCTATTCTCTGAAATAGAGATCAGCGAGCTTGTTGCTCTCATCATCGACAATTAGGAGTGGCCCAGTGGTTACAGTTCAGAGTACCAAGATTGGCGCAGAGAGGCGCGGGGTCGATACCAGCTCTGTGCGCCAGTTTCTGGTCAGAATCGGCGAGGAAGCAGGACTTCCCAGGGAGGTTAGCAGAGCAGAATTGTAGCAGTGAGATGCGAGTTCGAGACCGCAAGACGCTGTGAATGTCCTGCGATGTTAAGAATCGGCGATAGGCCTACGGCCTACTAAACGCTGAAACCGCTATTTATTTTAATTCGATTGATGGGCAGCACCTCAGCCGGTTAACCCTTTTCAGCTCAGTGGTACATATATGGTACATTAAATAGCATGATGTAATATTGCATCATACATTGCTCATGCTTGAGACATGCCTGAACAATTGTACTGGAAATGCACACCAAACCTGCCACAACATGTTCATATGAGTACAACCCCTTAAGCCTGCCAGTTTGTGCTCTGCTGTCAGGTTGAAAAGAAGAGTCGCTGTTCTCTGCCAAAAATAATGGCTTCCAGGGGAAAGTAAGTATATTTTGCACATTTCTTTGATAACTAGGTTCTTTTGGTAACTGCACATGTTGAACAAGTAATAAACCGACCTCTCCAGTTAACTTTTACATTTGTATAATGCATTATTTTTTCTGGATATTATTTTATATTTGCTGTGCCATATATGGTTCGCTGAGCTAATGCAGGTACATTTTTTCTGAGTACATATATTTCATGAATATAGAATTTCTAGCATGTTCTAAGTCCATTCTATGTTTCATATTTCAGATTCCTGACTATGCATGAGATATTAGGTATATTAGAAGAAGATGAGAGCCATGCATACGCTTATATTGAGCCTAATGATCCCGGCCTATAGTCTGATGAAGACTCTGCTGATGGAGTGGATAGTGATAGTGGATTGATAGATAATTTGTCCAGCAGACAACTGACTGGTAATGCTGAAGCTGTATTCAATGACGGACGACATACGACTGAAGATGATTGTGAAGATCAACTGAGTGGCAATGATGAAGCTTTCTTCCACGACGAACGTATAGTACTACTGAAGATGATGGTGAGGCTCATAATTCTTTGCCTATCAATAACTATAAGACTCCAAAATGTAGTCTTGACACTTCACTCACGCCTGGTGACCGCATATTTCCTGAGGCAAATTATGCAAAATATGGAGATTTTACTCCAGTTGAACTTTTTTAACTATTTTTTGATGATGATGTGTGGAATTTGCTAGTGGATCAGACAATTGTCTATGCAACTGTCAAAGGTGAAACAGATTTCTTGGTAAGCAAAGATGAAATGAAAGTGTTCCTTGGAATTTTGATAGTGTCTGGTATCGTTCCTTTATCTTCTCGGAGGATGTTTTGGAGAAATTCATCTGTGACAAGAAATGAAGTTGTCTCTCAGGCTATGAGAAGAAGAAGCTTTGAAACGAGCTGGGAGGCCGCCATCCTACTCAACAAAGGGTGACAAACGAGTGTTAGATGATATTCGTTTTGATGGAATAAAACATTATTTTGTAGAAACACAAGACAACAAAAGAAGGATGTAAGAAGGATGTGCTGGAGAAAGATGTAAGATAAGACCTTTCGTTCAGTGTTGCAAATGTAATGCAGGTCTCTGCTTGGCATGTAAACTTCCATTTCATACCAAATAATGATATGTTCTGAGTATTTACATTCTGATCAATATCTCGCTTTCTACCTTTTACATGTAAGTCCAACTTAAAGTATTATGTTTTTGAACACAATTTAATACTTGAAATAATGTGTTTGAACACAATGAAACGATAATTAGAAAATTTGTAGTTCACACGATGAATCAAATATTTGTTTTAGTTTCGCCATTTTACAGTATTTGGAATAATATTGCAAAAAAATATTGAAGACGTTATGTTTTATTGTTAATTTTAAATTTGTAATATCCTAAAACTGTAATATAACATGTCAATTTACAAATATATAAGTGCATTTCGGACACGGTTGTTTTTTCTTTCAACAAAAAAAATGTACTTGGATATGCTCAGTGGTACATATATGGCACATCGTATTCTAGCAATACTATTGTAGAGAAAAGCAAACTGAGACGTTTTCCTAATCAATTAGGTAGAGCCAACACCAAAAATTTGATAAAAAATGAAATTTAAAGAAAAAAAATAATTGGGGCTGAAAAGGGTTAATATGGATATTGTTACCATATATTTCTTGTGAAATAGACAATATGTTCATTTCATCATTTCAGTGGCTTGCACTCAGTTCCTCAACAGCGCCCTCTAGCCACCTATATACCTCATTCCGCATTGTCTCTGCTCCCCTCGGGGACCGTTTCATGAAAGCTTCCCTTACGTCAAGTCTTGGTTAAGACTCAGCCTCCTTGTTTCGCCCTTTCTGACGAACGGGCAGGAACGGCATCATGCCCGCCGGTGCCTATGGAAAGGCAAAGCGCTCCTTCCGCAGGGAGATCGCCTCCCGCGTTCAAGCGACTGCCGAGAACAACGATGTTCTTGCGATCACACTCCCACCGCTTGCATCAGATGATCAGAAGATGCCTTGCTCCCCCACCCTTATCCATCAGCGCTATCCCAGTTCCGTTCGGGCTACTGTGATTCCCTGGCGACCTACACTTTTGGTAGGGTCAGGCGCTTCTCCAGCGCCACCTGCCCCGAGTGTGGGGACCCCCTCCAGTCCGTCCAGCATTTCTTCGCCTGTTCCTCCTACCCACTGAACTCAGCGTCTCTTCACTGTTGGACATCCCAGTGGAGGCGGCGGCGTTCCTAGCCACCCTCCCTGCCTTCGCCCGTCTCTCCATTGAGCGTGACGTCAGTGCCAGACGCCAGTTACAACAATATCAACAAACATTTGTTGGGCAAAGTGGAAGGTAGCCATTTACTTACGTAGTTGCAATCACTGGAAATAGTTCCTGCGTGTCCATCTAGGTCATCGATGTTTGTGCTGCTTAGTTTCATCTATTGTGTGGTCAGCAATCTTGCCCAAGGTGTTGCTTTATTTGTAATTGTACCAATGTTCTGAGAGAGATGTGCAAAACCGATCTTAATATATTTGTTCATGTACATAATCATATATATACTTGAACATCATCTTTCGTTGCTACTCTTAATTTATTTATTTTTAATTAGGTGGTGTACCGGTATTCATTCTTCAATTATAATTTTAGGTCAGAAAAGAAACTCTATCATACAACAAAAATCTTTAACCTTCACCAGACTTTACTGAATTATTGTTTTTTAGAGGCTTGCACATAGATGCTGAATAAATATTTTGATATAGCTATTTAGAAAAACCTGTGGCCACACTCATGTGCAACAATGGCTAGAGTTAACACCTGAGCATGGTATAAAATTTAACAGGACCAAAAATGTATACATATTTGCATGCTAAATTGCATCTTAATTGATGGCAGAATTTTGGTTTTCATTGATATTATATAATTTAAAAATTTTCAAAATATTCCAATCATGTAAATGGATTACTGAATAGGCTGATAAATTTGATGCTTATTAAAATTGCAAGACAATTCTTCTCATCCTATATTTCTGGCCAATCCAGAGTAAAATTTCTAGTATGATGCCGTACCAATTTATGACCTCATACCTTGTATGGTCCCGTAAACTGGGGTAACTTTGACCACTTTTTTTTCAAAATGATGCCATTTTTTTACTAGATAAGTTAAACTAAAATTGAAACCAGCAAAATACAGGTCTATACTCTAGCTTTACTCACCATAAATTGCTGGCTCCTGCCTCTCATAGTTTTGATGTAATTTAAAAAAAAGTGAAGGTCTTTGTTACCCCAGCTCTTGGGGTTTATTTGACCAGGTGGTAAAATCAATTTTATTTTTTGGTAAAATAACTCCAAATAACTCCATGCATAATGATGCATTGTAGTAGAACTCTTCAAGTTACATATGCAAAAGAAAAATTTTAGGAAAGTGTCATAGTTTTCAAATGGGGGGTGCCACCCCCAAATGGGCAAAATGTGACCATCTAATGGCAAACGTGATGGGGTAACATTGACCAGTTTGGAAATTAAGCTAAAATTACCATATATAAGACTCTGTAAAGTCTGAAACATGAAGAAAAAAACATTAATAGGTGTATCAAACATAAAATATGTTATATAGATACCTATGGTAATTTTAACTTAATTTCCAAGCTGGTCAATGTTACCCCGTCATGGCTGCCATTAGGTGGTCAAAGTTACCCCATTGGGGGCGGCGCCCCCCATTTGCAAATTATGACACTTTTCTCAAATTTGTCTTTTGCATACGTAACTAGAAGAGTTCTACTACAATGCATCAAAACCTGGAGTTATTTTGCCAAAAAATAAAAAAAATGGAGGGAGTACTCTGACAGGCTCTAAAAAATAGCTTTTTTTTTTGTGGGTCACATTTTAATTTTTTTAACCTATTAGATATGCAAACTTTTTAAATCTTTCTATTGTGTTACATAGCCTCAGTATTAGGTCTTTAATGCCCATTGACAAAATTTTTCTATGTCAAATGGTTTTTGAGTTTTGGGGGTTTTTGTTAAAAAACCAAAAGTGGTCAAAGTTACCCCAGGAGTCAAAGTTACCCCAGTTTACGGTACTGGTTTATTGCTCTGAATTAAATGGAAACAGAGCAGTCAGTCACTCAGTCACTAGGTACTAGTCAGTGTGTATAGAGGGTAGAGTCTGGTAGATTTATAGGACATTAAACTACCATCAACCAAGGCTACTCGGGACGGTTTTGAGCGTTTTTTGTTAAGAACTTCTTACCATGAAACATTTCATAAACAAGTTTAGGCTCATATTATAGCTCTGTGCGAGGGCTATCGATGCAGTCATATGCAGATGCAGTCATGCGCAGATGCAGTCATGCGCAGATGCAGTCATGCGCAGATGCAGTCATACGCAGATGCAGTCATACGCAGATGCAGTCATACGCAGATGCAGTCATATGCAGATGCAGTCATATGCAGATGCAGTCATACACAGATGCAGTCATGTGCAGATGCAGTCATACGCAGATGCAGTCATACGCAGATGCAGTCATACGCAGATGCAGTCATGTGCAGATGCAGTCATGTGCAGATGCAGTCATGCGCAGATGCAGTCATGTGCAGATGCAGTCATATGCAGATGCAGTCATATGCAGATGCAGTCATACGCAGATGCAGTCATGCGCAGATGCAGTCATACGCAGATGCAGTTATACACAGATGCAGTCATATGCAGATGCAGTCATGCGCAGATGCAGTCGTGCGCAGATGCAGTCGTGCGCAGATGCAGTCATATGCAGATGCAGTCATGCGCAGATGCAGTCATGCGCAGATGCAGTCATACGCAGATGCAGTCATATGCAGATGCAGTCATGCGCAGATGCAGTCATGCGCAGATGCTGTCATGCGCTGATGCAGTCATGCAATGATGCCATGAATTAAAAAGAATGTGTCTTTTCCCTGCATCAGACAGTTTTATTGCCCTTCCTTATAAGCAGATATAGATTATATCGGTACTATGTAAAAGAAAAATTTTAGGAAAGTGTCATAGTTTGCAAATGGGGGGGCACCGCCCCCAAATGGGCAAAATGTGACCATCTAATGGCAGCCGTGACAGGGTAACATTGACCGGTTTGGAAATTAAGTTAAAATTACCACATATAAGATCTGTAGAGTCTGAAACATGAAGAAAAAAACATTAATAGGTGTATCAAACATAAAATATGTTGTATAGGTACCTATGGTAATTTTAACTTAATTTCCAAGCCGGTCAATGTTACCCTGTCACGGCTGCCATTAGGTGGTCAAAGTTACCCCATTGGGGGGCGGTGCCCCCCATTTGCAAACTATGACACTTTTCTAAAATTTGTCTTTTGCATATGTAACTAGAAGAGTTCTACTACAATGCATCAAAACCTGGAGTTATTTTACCAAAAAATAAAAAAATTGGAGGTGGTACTCCGACAGGCTTTAAATAATAGATCTTTTTTGTGGGTCACATTTTTAATTTTTAAACCTATTAGATATGCTAACTTTTTAAATCTTTCTATTGCGTTACGTAGCCTCAGTATTAGGCCTTTGATGGCCATTGACAAAATTTTTCTATGTCTAATCATTTTTGAGTTTTGGGGGTTTTTGTTAAAAAAACGAAAAGTGGTCAAAGTTACCCCGCCGGTCAAAGTAACCCCATTTTACGGTATGCAATGCAGCAATGGAAGTGTGTTTGCGCATGCACCTCATTCAACTCTGTGATTTTGAGCCAAGGACTCTAACCTCTAGATGTCTCATATTGAAATTTTGTATTCAACTTCAGGTGTGTCAAACTTGTAAATTAGGAAACGTATGCTTTAGTTCTATTTATTAAATCAATCTCTTAGAATTAGATTTTGCTTTTATTTATATACACCTACTTGTATTTATGCATTTTCTTCTCAAATTTCAGGTATGATAATGTACCTGGCAAATGGAAAGATTTAATTAGAAATCTGGAGAATTCTCTTTGTTTTCAAGTTCATTTTAAGGATATATTTGTTGTTCAGGGAGATGTTCAATTTCATGATTTTTTCTTTGCAAAATTATCTGCCATTCCTCATTTTTCTACTTGACTGGTTTTGAGGTCATTTTATTATTGTTCACACATGCTGAGCAACAATAAGTGAGTGTCCACGTGATTGATTTCATGGCACAGTTTATACCAGCATGCCTCAGAAGTCAGAACTGCAATTCAGAGAGAAGCCTTGCTGTTGCATTGACTACCATATGTGTAATATTCATTGAGACTACCAATTGTAATAGGTACAGAATTCCTAGCCTCTGGTGATATCTTGTACTGTGAGCCATGCATGCACTTTTCAATGCTGTAATATAAAAGTTTAGTGATACGGAATACTGTGCTTAAAAGCTTCAAAATGTTGATTTAATGCTGTTAAAAATATCTGTTTAGAACCAAATGGATTTTGTATCCCCTATATTGCAGGAATTGTATATTGGAGTTGTTTCATCACTTTCATGCCATCACATTGCAATTGATCATCTCTTTAATTTAGATATTGTCTAAAATTATTTTAGTGATAACTTTTCTTGCCTAATTGCAAATTTTAGAGTCTAGGGTTTAGTTTACACCAATATTATGTGGAAAAGTTGTTTTCTCTTTGCCTAAAGTTGATAAAAATTGTTTACAATTATCAATCAGTAAAAAAATTGTAAAACTTGAATGAAATTAACTTTATTTGGTATTATCATCCATCTTGAGTCCTGCTGCAAAGCAGGATCATATATTGCTGGGAATGCTGGGACAGGACCGCAGTATTTCCCTAACTTCATGTGTGTTTTCTGCATGCAGTTTCTCTGGCGAAATTTTGGATGCTGTCGTGTACCACTTGTATTTTCAACTGGTAACCAAGAAAATTGCGCTAAAATATCTTAAAAATTCAGATGATAAATCAGGACAATTTGCCACTTGTCAAAGTATGACAACCATCTTTGTGAGACGCCATTTTAAGTACATTACTTTCTTGAATTTTCTTTCTCAGATTAAGGCTTTGATTTTTGGGTGAAGTACAAAATATTGAGCCACCTTGAAGAAAGTATTCATGATATGAGTGAAGGCATGAAATGCATGTTGCCACATGCCATTCATTTTCTTCAGTCCACATTGGGAATGGCTCCTCACCTTTATGTATAAATAATATGAGCAATTATCAGAAATCTAGTAAGTTGTCTCTAGTAATTTAATGACTTTTTTCATGGCATACATAGCAAGAAAGAGACAATGAAGTTATTAAAATTAACCACTTTATTCTAAATGTGTTTTTGATAAATACGGTAAGCCCAAAACCTAAAAAGAATCCATTCTGTCTTTGGATTTTCATAAGTTAGTTGCATATTCAGTTTTTAACAATTTTATTAAACAGTTTCTAAAATCTCATATTTGCTACCACTTCTTAAAAGCCAGGAAGCAATAAGAAATGTGCAGGTGAACTTAATTTGTGTTCTTTATTGGGGTTCTAGTACCCAATGCTGTACCATTGGAATTAAACTGCATCCCCTGTATGTCGATTTTGGGAACATTGCAAGTAATTGTTACTTTTTAATGAAGAATCAATGTCACTAATGAACAGATATTTATTTCATACTTACAGCGTACCGGTATACTTCTACACATACATACAGGACTCTTTCTGAGAAACACAGTAAAAACTTTAGGACAGTGCCATTGTTTCCTTTTGAATTGCATGCAGTTACAGTTTTTGCTTTCTTACTCTTATTAACTTTCTTCTCGTTTAAGGTTCTTCAGTTTAATTTGTACCAAGCAAAATCTCAAGGAAATTATTATGGGTGATATGGAAGAGTGCAGTAATGAGATTCACAAGCTCCCTGATGATGCAGTAAAGAGGTGCAGGTTGTCTGGGCTGAGCCTCATGCAGATACCTTCTAGTGTTTGTAAAGTTGAGTCTGATGGTAAGCAACATACCCAAGGCAGCACCAATCACCCTCATTGCCAAAAATAATATGCTTTGTATTATTGCAAATTGTGGTTGTATTTTATATTATCATGAATATATGGCTCTCAATTGTGAGATGACTTTGTATTATGGTTAAACTCTCATAACTGTTTTGATGTCTAGCAGTAGTTTTTATTACCTTGTTAATTCCTTTGAATTGGATCATACCACAGAGGCCAGCAGCTCATCTCAACTCCCAGGAATGATAACAGTCTTTGTAAAAGAGGAGCCTGTAGATGAAGAAGAAAACATTTCTGTGAAGGATGAACCTATCAATATTGATGAGAATCAGGTGAAAATATTACTCAGATATTTCAATGTTGATAACTCAACATATGCCTCTCAACATTTTGAGGGCTAGCTAATTCCAACTTCACTGAAAGAAAGTCCACAGCTTGATAAATTATGCTCCTATGTGCTTGTGAGATTTTCCTTGACTTGACACTTTTGCATAGACTTTTATCTGCTTGTCATGTAACCAAATAATATTTTAGCTTCTTGAATAGACTCAAATCTTAACATACCTAACGAAAAAAGGGGCAATTAAAGAAGATCAAACCCTATATGTATGTAATATTTTGCAATGCGCACAGATAATTTATTACAAGTATGGTACCTAGGTTTTCTTATCAGCGCATGAAGTTCTTTAACAACATCTGTGTTATTTTTAATATTGCATAATTTAGCTTCCTAATCGAAAGGACTAGCTGTACACGCCTGACAGTTTTGGGCATATACAACAGAAGAAGACTCTGGTTATAGTAAGAATATCAGAGTCCAATTCCACAAAAGGTATGAAGAAGAAACTACCGTAATAATTGTTTTTTAAGCACCTGCACTATATACACCAATAAAGATGGGAGCATTCCATATACATTATCTTATATATGAGAGACGTTTTTATTTATTTCAAATTTATCAGGACTTGATTGCAACACTGATATGTGACTGATGTTTCCAACTGTTGTAGCTGGCTTGTTCACATGAGCCCAGCAGCCATGTGTGTGGTGGCCAGCTAGCCCCACCTCCCTCATTTGAGGGGCTGTGCAAGATGGAAGCTCAAATTGAGGCTCGAGCTCACCAGCCCGCCTCACTCATCTCTACCGTGCCTAGAATTGTGGTGGGTGGTTGTGTCTGCTGGAATGATTGAGAATTTGAATCTCTTTCTTGATGGGTTTACAGCAGTTTCAGATTTTTGGCAGTACTAGAGCCTTGTCCATATCATAGAAAAATGTTTTACTAGTTGCAATGTCCTTATTCAAAAATATTTGTCAAGAAAGTGTCAATTATTCTTGATATTGAGCTCATGAAAAATTTAATAGCTTATTATTTTTTACATTTTCCAAATATCTAAATAAATAAAAATCTGTAAGTTATGATATTCTCAAGATTTCAAACTTCTTTACCTAATAACTTAATATTAAAAAATACTGAAGACAATTATTTCACAATTTTTTCAATATTCATCATCTTCATATTTGATGATATTCTACATCATATCACCTTAAACTGATATTCTTAGACTCCAGTTTATCTGATGTTTATAAAATATTGTGGTTACCATTCTATACATTTCCTATGCTGTTAAATTTTGGTAGACTTGTTGAGAGCTTGTAGCTTCCTAGAAGCTTCTTCCCATTCATAGCCTAAGCTTTCTCTGAATGAAGCAAGGTTGTGTGGCTATATGATCCTCTGGGTTTTTACATTGAATTTCTTTGTCGTTTTATAATATTTTTCTATATTTATCTCTTCATAGAAGGTCAGATTTTTTTTCAAAAAAGGCTTGTTCATGGCTTAATCATTTCAGCAGGGCCAAGCTACCAAAGGAAAGCTAGGAAACTGAAACACAAAATAAGATCAATATGCATTCATTGTTGAGGCTGATGTTGGCATCCTACAAAATTGGAGCAATACAGAAAAGAGTTTCTTTGATTAATAAAATAACTAACTTATTAAATAATCATTAGTAAAATAACTTACTTAATTTTCATTAATTTTTCCTTTCAATATTCCAATCAAAGGACCGAGAATGTGTATTCAGAATGTCCCATAATTGTTAGTTTGTGCAGATCAATTCTTAGTTGTTTAAAAGTTATTTACTCATACATTTTGTTGCCGCTGTGTCATCAGAGCGTGGGAAGAGGGCAGTACTCAGACGCTGGTGGCGGCGGCGGCGTCTCTGAAGCGCCCAGCTCCCAGCAGCGCACCAAAAGACTCTCTTATTCTCAACGGAGATTAGAAGAGGCCGAATGGCACAAGCCCATGGCATTGATGGGGCATAATAATTCTTCCAAGAAACGTTATAGCTGCTCGGAATGCGAATATTCTTGTGTGACCAAGGGCAATCTGAAGAGTCATGTTCTTTACAAGCATTCTTCTGAGAAACCTGTTACCTGCAAAGAATGCAAATATTCTTGTGTGACAAAAAGTCATCTGAAGATGCATGTTCTTTCGAGGCATTCATCAACAAAACCTTTTAACTGCGCAGAATGCGAATATTCTTGTGTCAGCAAGTTTAACCTGGAAAGACATATGCTGCACAAGCATACGCATAAGAAGCCTCTTAATTGCTCGGAATGCAAATATTCTTGTGCTGTTAAGAGCGAGATGAAGAGTCATGTTCTCCATAAACATTCATCAGAGAAACCTCTTAGCTGCGATGAATGTCATTATTCATGTGTGACAAAGGGTGAACTCAGAATTCATGTTCTTTCTAAGCATTCATCATCGAAACCTTTTAGCTGCTCGGAATGCGTGTATTCCTGTGTCACTAGAAGTGCTTTGAAAAATCATATGAATAACAAGCATTCATTCAAGAAACCTTTTCGCTGTTTGGGGTGCAAGTATGCTTGCGCACAGAAAAGCAGCTTAACACGACACATGCGAGCCAAACATTCCAGAGAAAACTTCATCTCCACTGCTGAAAGTGCAAATGTATCTCAATGAGTACACATGAATCACTGAATATCATCTGTCGTTTCATTGAACAGAGAAGCCATTTTGTTGCTCCGAAGTAGAGCGCAGTGGCAAAATTAAGGGCACGGTCTGTCTAGAGTGAACTTATTAGACATCTCCCTGGCTACTGGAAAAATCATTGGACAGTTAATGTTATGAACATAAACAAATCATGACTACTGTTGATGCCATTCTGTACAACTGCCGTTGCTGGGGAAATATAATGCATTCAAATGACAATCTAGCTGAAACGGGAATTTCTCGTGAGGAAAATTTACATTCGTCTTGTGTAGAACTTCCTGTTGAAAGAAACGTCTATTATGATTCCATATGAAAAATGATTAATGTACAAGCAAATCAAGCCAAAGATTGTAATGTAGTAGAATATTGACTATCATATCAAGTTATTGAGAGAGGGTTGGGAGTTGTGACCAGTTCGTAGAGTACCGAAAATTCTGCCTCGTGTGATTGAGACGCTGAAAGTAAATACCGAAATCAAACGGGTGATGCGCCCAAAACTGCTGTCTTGAGCACATGAGTAACCGAAGCGCCGGGTCCAAATTTCACTAAATTACGAACTATATTACGAGCTGTAGTCACTAATTGTGAACTATATTACGAGCTGTAGTCACTAATTGTGAACTATATTACGAGCTGTACTCACTAATTGTGAACTATATTACGAGCTGTACTCACTAATTGTGAACTATATTACGAGCTGTACTCANTTCAATACAACAACTATATTGTTCTCATTAAAGCGTTACTTAATACAATACAAAAACTATATTGTTCTCATTAAAGCGTCACTTAATTCAATACAACAACTATATTGTTCTCATTAAAGCGTTACTTAATACAATACAAAAACTATATTGTTCTCATTAAAGCGTCACTTAATTCAATACAACAACTATATTGTTCTCATTAAAGCGTTACTTAATACAATACAAAAACTATATTGTTCTCATTAAAGCGTTACTTAATTCAATACAACAACTATATTGTTCTCATTAAAGTGTCACTTAATTCAATGCATCAATTATATTGTTCTCATTAAAGCGTCACTTAATTCAATGCATCAATTATATTGTTCTCATTAAAGTGTCACTTAATTCAATGCATCAATTATATTGTTCTCATTAAAGTGTCACATAATTCAATGCATCAATTATATTGTTCTCATTAAAGTGTCACTTAATTCAATGCATCAATTATATTGTTCTCATTAAAGAAAAGCGCCACTTAATAATACAACTACAAGTTCTTCTCATTGAGGGGTGCATGTCAGTCAGTAAAAAAATTTTTTATTTATGGACAGATCATTTTGAAACTTGGTACAAATATGTATAACAGAAATCTAACACTTTTTTGTTAGTATAAAATTTTTCGAAAAGATGAAATGAAACAGCTAAAAAAAGGGGGTACTGCATGCGACGTGCTACAACATCAAGAGACATACAATTCGATTCATAAGGACCATATCTAGCGATTTACTGACCAATTTTACCAAATTCTTATTTTTGGTCGAGTGAATTTTTCATTTTTTGTAATTATCGCCCACCCCCGTATTTTCAACTTGTAATCCAAAGTATAACGAAATAAAGAAAAAGCGACAGCAGAATCTATAGATATTTTTTCACAAATGTAATGGTGAAGAACAAGAACCAACACCAGGGGCCACGGCTATAAACTAAAAAAACTGCGCTGCAACTTCTCCACTCGCCAACATTTCTTCTCGCTTCGAATCACCGACATGTGGAACAGCCTCCCCGATGACATCGTTGGAGCTCCAAGTATGAACGCGTTCAAGAACAGACTAGATAAAGCTATGGAAAAATATATGTTCAGACTTGAAATGCCTAGCTCCTTATCGAACCCGGTGGAAGTCGAATAGCTATTTCAAACTATCGTCAGTCCTGGAAAGATACGGTCAAATGACACGATTTTAGATATCCTGTGAACAAGGCACGAAAGAATCGGCGATAGGCCACAAGGAAAAGAATCGGCGACAGGCCACATCAGGCCTACAATTCAGCGCCGAGATCACTATGTTATGTTATGTTAATAATGTTATACCTCTCAATGCTGTAGCTTAAAAATCATAGGAGGAGATAGGTTATTAAGATTGCTTTTTTTTAATTTTAATTGTTCATGGGAGCCAAATAACAAAATTATCAAAAAATAAAATAAAATGCTACAAAATTGCTTGATACTGTAGCCCCGGCTTTCCCATTGCCCGTTACTCGTATTGAGGATACAATCGCGCGTTTTTATACTTATTCTTGTCCAGTTTAAAGCGGAAAGTAAGTTATAAACGTGGATTTTCTGATACATTTATTTAGACAAAATGGGAATTTTATAAAATTTCAAAACGGTCTTATGAAAGAACCATGAAAGCTCCCTCATCGCGGTTTGTTGCAACCGCTTTGTAATAGTCCTCCCTACTAATTGATGACAAAAAAACAGAAAACGTAACGTAAATTAGTCGTCTTGTAGGCGAAATGCTCTCCTTAACGAAACACCGAGCGCTATATAAAGGTAACATGTTGATACTTAGCTGGTATTTCTGTGTAGATATTTACGGTGTAACGAGGGAAACTTTAGAATATCTTCATATTAATTATTCTTTGCGGCATATAAGCTAAGTTTAATGCGGATAATTGAATGATAGACACCTGAGTAATATTATTTATCAACAACCGAGAGTTGTACGTTTTGCGATGTGCATAATACTTCATATTTATTAAATACAAACTTGAATACTCTTGTATTACTTATCCCCCATATTGCGAATACTCCAGACAGTCCAGGGCCGTACTATCATGAATGAGTGCGACGTAACTCAGTCAGCCAATCACTGACGGCTTCTCAAGCTAAACCAACCAGTCACAGATGAGAAATTAGCCGCTACGTGTACTTAGACCGCTACGTGTACTCAGACCACTACGTGAACTTAGACCGCTACGCGTACTAAGACCGCTACGTGTACTCAGACCACTACGTGTACTTAGACCGCCACGTGTACTTAGACTGCTATATGTACTTAGACCGCTACGCGTACTAAGACCGCTACATGTACTTAGACCGCTACGTGTACTTAGACCGCTACGTGTACTTAGACAGATACGTGTATTTGTGCGAGTTCCGAAGTAACGGCCCCAGATCAACTCGGCCTCAGAGTTCACTGAAGAGATCACTAATATTCATGGGTTAGTCAAGCGGGTATCCACGATACCAATCGTGTGGGGATATCAACAAGAGTTGCCGTGGACGTAGGGACGAAAAACTCTTACCTACACTTTGAAAATTCATGTGTAATTTTCCTGGGTCCATGCACCCAATGAGAGTTTATGTATTGAATTTGATTCATATATTTTGAATCCAAATTTACTGAGTAAGTATCCCGAAAATCTAATTAAACTCACCATTTCCAATGATTGAATTATCGACAACTCTCACAAGGCAGGCAGTACTCATACTAGAATTGATTGGGCGATTGCATAGTGTTGGACATAATTGGACTTAATAAATAATCTTTCACAGCACCTGAAGATGCTTTTTGAACTTAGCTAAGTGACGAGCTGTTGAGAATCAGCGTTAGGCCAATATGGCCTAGTCAAAGCCGCAGCATTTTATAACTATTATAAAAAAGAAGCTCCTATTCACCTGAACTTTGAGCATCGCAGAGAGTAATAAAAGAATGATTGTCAGCATCGTTCATGCTCCGAGGACACTAATAACGGAACGGATGCTGACCAATGACTTCATATTTTTAAATCAGTGGTACTTCTATAGATATTTGCTCAAGTGAAGTTTTTCAACTTCTAAAATTAGGTAAGTCCATGTTAGGGACACAGGACGCTCAGCACGTGAGGTAAGAAGGGGTGACACCGAGATAAAATTCATAAGTCATGAGGATAAATATAACAAAACGGCAATTTAATAATTATTCATCTATTTGGAAGAAATTTCTTCAACAAAAATGTTGACGTGTCTATTTTGCTATTTGACGCAATGAGATGATGAGGATATTTGTTCTAATATATCATTTAAAAACTATATAAGTAATATTTATTGTGCAGGTGCAGCTTGTGTTTGCAAAGTGAAAAGCAGTAAAGCACAGCTTTGTAAATGCGGTTATAATGATAATAACTAATTACTTACGGTTCAACAGCAAGATGTCCTTTGTACTTTCAATCTCCATGAAAAACTACATATGTTTTCAAATGGATCCGCTGAATTGATTACCTACAACTTTTACAGTAAGCATTAGATTGACATGTAAATATGCTTCTTAATCGACCTTCTCGTAGAATAACCTATGAAATAGTCTGCAACGAAAAATAAGTTTCACGTTTTCAGTTTTGTGATACAAACATTCTTACAATTATTACAGTTAGATATACATTTCTACTGTGAAATTTAGCCAGAATTCGTTAAATGAACGCAAAATTAAAATTGATGTATTACTTGTTGGACTCTCACTTGTAACGAAAATTTGTGCCCCAGTATTTTTCAAAGTTAAATGGCGACGATGAAATGAGAAATTTTAGTTATATCCACAACTTGACTTGACTAGCAAAAATAAATGAATGAGCTGGAAAGATTTACTGACTTGTTATTGAAGTTCCGCGATTCCAGAATATCACAGTTGGCCATAAAAATTTTCTATGATAGAAAACTGAATTTCAGGGCACGTTCATCGAAACAAATTTCTGCCTCTGGTTTTTTCGCAAACAAGCAAACCATAAGATATCATAATTAAGTCACTCATTTGTGCATAATTCAGCTTGAACAAATGGAATCAAAATGGGCAGTCAAAGGCTTTCAATAGCTAATAATATATATGATAAAATTCATATTTTGTAAATTGTAATAATATTGACCTGTAAGTAAATGGTCATTAAAACTTCAAATCAAGCCACCATATATGCAAAGTATTGATGTTGTTCTATAAATAATATTTTCTGATGAAAAGATGAATGCGGATGATGTCGTTTCTTTCTTAAAAA